AACTTCAGTATGATTTGTTTCCATCTTCAGCAGTAGATGTGGGTTTTACCTGCAGACATACTCCAGGGGAAGAGATTGTGTCAGTGGGGCTCAGCACAGCAGGATCTACAGCTCAACTTCTTGTTTAGTTCAGTGATCAAATACTGCTAAAGCACTACTAATAAGAGAGACAGATGCAACATCATCTTACCCTATCCTGATCATACCATGACTTCTGGCTATTTTTTTCCCACATAACAGAACTGTTTGCCATCCTTGAAACCAGAGCTCGATCAAATCAAGCTGGGAAAAAAGCCTGTACTGAACAGCAGCAAGCAGACTTTGTTTAATGTGACTGTAGATCTATGCTGCAGACATATTCTTCCTACAAATTCATTATACACAACTTCTTAGAAATATCAGTCACACTAGGATTCCCAATTCCTCCCCTCACCTCCCAGTTTCAAGACTCCTACCACTAGCACTGATCATTACATTTTTGGGTTCAGACATACTTGTCCCCTTCCATTTGCCACCCCCACCTCAAAGGATTTGCGTTTGGTTTTGGTTTTTTTCTTTTAAACAGGCTTATTATCTGGAAGAAGGGTGAGACACAAGCATGAAAGTGTGATGCTGTCCTCTTTTAATATTTGGAGCCCATATACTCGTGTATCTATCTATGACACAGCCCTGCATTACCCGATGCTGGCATTTAGGACTCCATAGACTTGCCAGCTCATACTTGACAGAGAAAGCCGTATCGTTTTTACTCACCTTGTTTTAGTTGTGAGGCCAAGAACGTGGAAGAACAGCAGGCAGTGTTTCCAAAGCCTCTACGCTATCTCATGCCATTAGCCATGCAAGAGCTGCACTAGCAAAAAGCCGTACGAGAACGAACTGGTTTATGCCAGCAGAGGTCAGTGGGTGACTCTCTTGCCAAATGTTTCAGATGCACTTTGTGTATTAGAGGTGTACTCTGTCACCCTGCAGCACTGAGAGCCACTCTTTGACTGGATGGAGCCATTTTGCCCTTTTTGATCCCATTAGCCTACCCAAGCAAATGATGCTGCTGCTGCTTTGTTGTTACCTGCTCCTTGCTCTTCTCTCCAGAATAGGTTTTTAGATTTCTAGCAGATCAAAAAGCAGTTTCCAAAGCTAGTACCTATTTTTAAAATGTCCACTGCAGCTCCCTACACTGATGTAACTGGTTAAGCAGCTGTGTTGCTCTGGAATGTACAGTGCACAGTAATCCATCAGCCTCTGAAGCCACACTCCAATGCCATTTTTGCAACTTACCTGTAATAAATAAAACTGCTTAATATGTAAGTCAAAGATCCTTTTCTCACGATTTGAAGTGACCTAATGCTTCAACATTTAGCTTAATTCAGAAGAAAGTGACTCAGAGGAGATGCAAACAACATACATACTAATATATACTAGTCTAAGAGAATCTTCTGATAGTAAGGAGGTTTGGGCCAATTCCATCAGAAGTTACCGTATCACTCTAATGAAAAGTTTGCTCATAAGCAAGCTTGGAGTTTTATTTACATATTAAGGTTAAAAAACCAAACTAAAACCACAAAACTATCACTCACCCTTCCAGCAGTCACTTCCCTCAGACTATTACACAGCCACAGATGTCCTTACCACCCACCTCCCATCACAGGGAACAGGTCAAAGGAATTTAGGAGTGTAATTTGCCTATTATTCTTTTCAGTATTCTATTTAAATCAGATATAAATGACTGTACCAGCTTTAAAAAAAAAAGATGTATCAGACCTAGGCACAAGACCACATGGCCCTAAAGCTGAGAGTAGTGAGGTAATATCAACTCATACAGGTTTTTTCCTTTTTCAATACTAAGTCATTCTACCTCACACATGAACTTCCTTCTTCTGTTCTTCCTTTAACAGGGATACTCTCTTTCCATGCATCTTTGCTTTTAAAGCTGACACAGTTTGGATACTTTCCTCATTAAGTTTTTTAAGTTGCTGCCTGTTTGCTGTGGATATAAACCACGGGCACTTTAAATGTGTCAAGTTGATATCAACAGTTGGGGAAAAAGGTGCAGAGATATCTGAAAATTATCACTTAAACAGTAAACTAACATACTGCACAGTTTATTCTCACGTCACCAGCTGTGATGAAAGGTAATGTAAACAAGGCTTTTAGGTGGGAGTAACATGGGGATTTTACCAGGAGAGTATCTGGGGACAGCTCAGTTACTGTGCTTGATCACTTCTTTCCTGTTTCCTCTCTCACCACAGGTCAGCTTTGTGTAATCTGCCAGTCTTGTGTAACTCCTCTCTCTAGACCCAGCTACGCTGACGCAAAAGCAAGTGGCACAAGTAGCAACAACAGCCTTCAGCACTGGCAGCCTGCAATGAAGGCCTCCCAGGCAGCACAGAGCTCCCAAAGGAAGTTATTTACAAGTCTGCTTGGGGGAAAAAAATTATCTATCTTGATAGATATATTACATATATACACACATAGTGGCAGGCACCTGACTTCAAACTGTGTCTGAAACGATAATATCCTCCTCATCCTTCTCAGCTCAGGATACAGGCATCTAGTTTTAAAAAAATGTAGGGGAAAAAAAAAGCAGCAGGGTAAGCACATAGCACGTGTGCTTAAAGCCTCTATATGGCCTGCACCCGGCACCTGTACATTCCTACCATCACAAGTTGGTCATCAGGTACCAAACGATTCAATACAAGCAGCACGAATATCACAGCACACCTGCTTCAGGGACACAGGGCTGGGGAGAGAAAGATGTCACAGTCCCACTGTTCCTCCAGGTATAATGAAAGCAACAAACTCCTTTATTTCCTTTACTGTGTTTACCTGAAAGGTGGTAAAATCTAAGTACAACTCTAATGGGCTTTAAAAAAAACAGTTAGCAGGCAAGAATTCTAACAGAGAAAATTTATTTTCAAAATAACAAACTTTGTCCAGAACATTGCAGGTCTCAGTAAATCCAAATACAGCAGTCCCGGTGATATGACGCAAGGGTTTGCTTTTAGCACAATCCTTTCACACTCTAGCAATCAGAAGGCAAGTCAAGCAATTGGGGGGGGGAGAAGGGGCAGAAATCGCTCATCTGTCAGAACAGGCATCTCTAGAGGTCCTTCTTAATGAAATGTACCTGGAGGGTAAAGCACTCTCCACCTCAGATTGCACGGCTATCCACACTATAAAAACAATGAGAGGACAGGAGATTTTCAATAGGACAGATGATTTATGAAACAGAACTGCAAGTCCGAGACATAAATCTCTTTTGTTTCTAAATTCCTCTCTCCTCCCCTCCCACGCACACTGATGTTATCCCCAGAAAGGTATAAACTGTGGATCATTATGTATACACACAGTGTCAATACTGTGTAAGCATAAATCTAAACCCATGTTTCGTTCTAGTGCTCAATAAAAGCAAGTTGATGCTTCTACTATAACATTGCATTCAAACCTTACACAAAGCTCATACAGCAGTTTCCATAACCAAACTAAGCGCACTCGGACACTTTGTAGTTCTCCGGATGCAATTTTCATGGCACCTTCTTTGCCACAGCACTGAGTACGCAAGACCCAGGCACACATCCCGTTAGAATTCCTCGGCTCTGTTTCTGCTGTGCTCATGCTTCATTAACATCATCATGAGAAATATCCTTCTACAATCATGCAGAGCCAGATACAGAAATATGATTGGACTGTTAAGGAGGAGACCACAGCACCAACCACATTTGTAAGTGCTCACAAACTGTACACAACCCATTACATCTCCCTTTTTATTTATTTTTAAAAGCTCTTTTGATGAGGCAATTGTCCTTCCTCATTTGTTACTACAACCAGGGGGTCTGTGCTATATATTTTTGTTTATGTTGCCCTATACTAATGGAAGAATAACTCACTTTAAGCTGGACTGTAGCTCATGAAGTCCTTGGCTTTTGTTTTTCAGAGGTAAAAGAAAAACACAAAACACAAAACCAGGCTTCCCATTCCAGTGATTTTTTGGTCATTGCCCTTTTTCCTGATAACCAAGTTCAAAAACTCACCATCTCTCATCCACTTGTAGTTGGCCAACAGCCACACAAACCACTACCCCTCTACTTAACCAAGCCCCACTCTGGAGGCATCCCTCTTGCCCAGAACCATTTGATTCTGCGAAGCAACCGTTCTGCAGTTGGCAGCAGGAGCAGGGAAGAGAACCCACGAAAACAGCAATTTAACAAGGAGTACATTCTGGTTTAGACAGTGGTCACTCCACAATCTATACCAGTACAGCACTGTCATCACTAGACAATGCTAGTGCTGGTGCTGTGAAGGCTTTCAGCAGCTACCTCCTCTCATGTGAGCAAAAACACAGAGCATCACCCCCAACTGCTTCTGTTGCATTTTTAAGTCACTTGGAGAATCCCCCTTAAAATGGCCAATGTGCACTTTGAGTACTCTATAAAACCAAATATTAGTGCTTGGAGACAGCTCAGCTGCAACTTCTAGGGCTTTCTTTATGAACTTAAGAATGCGTTTTTGTTTTGGGGAATATCTTCTAATTGTTAATTTACATTCAGGATGCCTGTATTGCGGCAGAAGTCGGCCAGCAGTTAAGCACATACCTTTCCCAACTTGTTTCTACCGGGAACAGAGCCCTGAATTTTCAGAACATTTCTATCTTTTTATCATCTACTTCAAAGCATAAATAAACCCGCAGCACAGATCACTCCACAAATAAAACTTTAATGGCTTAAAGCTCCAACTCCTTTCAGAAAAAAAAAAGTTATTGGCATAAAAGGACTGATGCTATGAGATTTGCAAAGCTGTTTAAAAAGAAAACAATGGCCTGTGGGTAAAAACCTTCATTAAACAGTTCTCCCAAGTATGATTTGCACTGAGACAAGTGAAAGTTTTTCATCTTTTTTTACCCAAAAGGAGAGGGAAGGAAGGCACTGGATTTGTAACTTCATTTGATTAAACAATTCACTGTAGGCAATAATATGACCTTGGTGAAAGAGTACGTAAATTAAAGACAGTCACAGCTTCAGTCTTCCATTCCAAGTTCTTGTTTCAGACTGAAAGACAAGTAGAAACACGAGTTAGCTTGTAGCAAAGCACTGCTTGGAAACTCTTTAGACAAATTAGTGGAAGCCCTGACAATAAGCACAGCTAAGTTGAGAGTCAAAAGACAGAGTGGATATACCACTTGTTTTGGGTAAAAACCAACATGTCAGAAAAATCATATGGCAGAATCTCAGATTCTAAAGGCACATGGACTGATCTTGAGATTCACCTGACAAACTGGGATGTGGAAAGCCCTCCTCTCCCAGTTTTGAGCTGTTTATCCCACTTAGAGCAGAGCTATGCCACTGACACAAATGGCATACTAACCTTTTCAAGTAGGCGTGGACATTGTCGTAGCCATGGTACTTGGCCAGATAGACCAGGACACCTGTAGCACATTGGCCATCTCGCTGTCTGCAGAAGCTACAGTTGCAAATTCCACGACACGGTGGACATTTCCAGGTCTAGACAAAAGACAAGACGACTTTTTAACTGAACTGGAATGCCAGACGTGATTCACACCCACAACTTAAAGCTAAGGCCCTGCTCCACAATGAGCTCCGCAGTGAACATCAGTGCTGCAGAAATTTTCTACACCAGTACAAGAGTGCAAATTCTTCAGTCTGTAAGGGATTAAACTCTCCTTTGCCCATCTTGCACATAACCACAGGAAGCATCCCACTCTGCACAACTCCTGCCCCACCTTCACAGGCCACAACAGGAGCACTCTGTCCACAATACAGTTCCTTTCCAGAGGACATTCAGCAGTAAGGCAAGACAAAAGAGGACACTACTCAGATGCTCAAACACAAAGAGTATTTTGGCAGCTGCTCTGCTCTCAGTTTACTCCTGCAAACAAAGCTACAGAAGCAGAAACTACAGCAAGTTGTACACAACACAAGGTTCTGTGATTCAGTTTGAACCAGATGAGGACTGCATTATGTACTACAGCACTGTAAGCAGTTTCCCTGCTAAAACTCTTCTCCTATAAGTAACCAACGCACACCTTTACTCAAGTTAAGCACAACAAAGCCAATATTCACAGTTGTCTTACCGGATCCAGCAACGCCGTTCTGACATCTTCGCCATACCTATTGCGGAGGCACGGCCCGCAGAACTGGCCACGCACTCCTACGCAATCAGGGTTACGACAAGTTGTCTTGGTGTCTACGGTTTTTTGGCGACACTGATGACAGGTAGATCCCTAGAACACAAGGAAAGTTGTTCAGGAAACACAGCATTACAGATGGCTCTTTAGTTAGGGGAATCCAGCATTTAACAAGTGATCTCTTTGGCAGCAAGCAGTGCCTATCTGGAAACAGAAAGCCACCTTGCAAGGTTGAATCAAGGCTGTTTAACACTGCACCTTCAGTATCTGTTATCACCTTCCTTGGCTGGTATTGCCTAGCTACTGCAGTTGTTCCAGAGTGAAAGCAAGCTAACTGGCTTGGTAAAGGCCACTCAGTAAATTCAAGGAAAGGTAAGAGATGACATTTCAAGATTTCAGGCAGGATGCTAAACTGCAAGCAGAGAATAACATGAAAATTACTAAGTAGGCACTTCACAAAGTTGGCATATACTTACCATGGACCTGTTATATACTTTATCTCTTGCAGATACAGAGATATTATTCAGCTCTTCTGCTGTGATCTCCTCAACTGGGCGCACAACGTGTGGAAAAGCCATGGCACCACGGTGACAAGTCCTGGGAATTTTGGCTTCATGCTGAATAGTGAAGACACAATACTTTCAGTATTAGTTTCAGCAAAAAAATCTACATAAACAAGGTGGAGATCTTCAAAGCAATGCCAAAGTCTCAAATAAGTATCATATATTTAAACAAGGCACACAGATCTTTGCAAAGACATGGTATGGATGCAGCTTTAGCACCTTCAATTGATCTGTCACCTTCAAGGTGCAGAAATGCTACTGGATCTTGCTTAATTCCTGCTTGAGTGCAAGAGGAAGTGATTCTTCAAGGGTAAGGTGAGGGGAAATGGAGAACACATACAACATGCTATTTTCTGTACTTCTTCTCTACTTATAATCTTGACCAATTCTGTATGAACTGCTATTTTCTTAAAGGGATACAAAACTACCTTCATGATGAACCCGCAACAGAACTAGAACCTCAACATACCTCCATCTTTCTTCTTCTCCTCACTAAGATGTACCGGGGGTCATCATCTTCCTCTTCTGGTAAAGGAGCAGGAGGACCTTCAATCAGGGACTTGGATCTTGTGTGAGGCCGAGAACTTCGTTCTGGGTTCCTCCTCAAAGCAGTTTCAGGCAATGAATGTCTTGGAAGTCGCTTTGGTCTCTGGTAAAGTTTAAAAGCCCCTAATGAAATAAGTGAAAACCCAGACAGCTCCTGTCCCTACTATGAATTCTTCCCCCAGAAGACATATCCTCTTCCTGTCTTTATCAAAGATGAAGCTTCCTCACCATCCCAAACCAGAAAACACGAGGTAAAAACATCCTAGGCAAATTTATCTTGCCCATTCTGCTAGCTACAGAGAAACATCCAAAAGCACATCTGTGTCTCTGCAGATAGAAGATACAGTAAGTTCCCCATGCAGCGGCAGAACCTGTGTCTACGCAGAGTCGCAACTTTTAGTGTTGTTCCCATCTTTGCACAGCTTACAGGTAAATTAGGAGTGTAATTCATTACATAGGTGATTCACAACCCAACCCTCTTTAAGGGCCAAGTAAAACCACGTCAGACTTTTTTCGGGGCTAACAAGTCACAGAATATTCAGGCTTGAACTTCAAAGTCTGAGCTGCCCCTTCTTATCTCCAGCCTTTGTATAAATACACACTTACACAGCACTTCGTTTAGGTTTTTTTGACCTTTTAACCTTTATGAATTAATCTGTCCTGCTTTATACAGTGGCAGATCAAAAGAGGACAATGAGGATGCCTGTGATAGGAAGCAATAAATCTCTGAACTGGACTTTAATTTACCTGGTTTATTAAGTTTTTTAATTTAGAGTCCTGTTTTGTAATGTCAGAATTTGACTCTCGGAAACCTGAAGGCAAACACAGCAAGTCTATACTTACATTACTGACAGCTGGCGATGATTTTCTCCCACCAAAGATATCAGAAACACTTTGCAACTCGGCTATTAGTTTTGCAAGCTAACAAGAGAAAGAAAAAGTAAGCAGAGTCTTAAAAGAGTGTTCCTGTGCTATTACAAACTACTAGATTAGGGCAATTGGCTAGAAGTACCATTACTTATAGGAAATGCAGTCATTCTTTAACTTTTTACTTTTATGTCTTATTTATGTTTAAGTGACTGCAAGTAATAGCAAGTAATTTGAAAATGCTCAAACTTGCTATGTTGAAGCCATGTTCTTTAGGCTTACAAGTTATGGATTTCTACTGAAGTACTTTGCCTATGGATTTTCCACATACCAGTGGACGTAACGGATCAGTGTTAATATTAGGAATATAAATTCCTCCTAATGCATTCACTTAATTCCCATTAGAGTTAATTTGAACAACCAGAGGTCTCCCCCAAGAGTTGGGCGGAGAGAGAGGAAAGAGAAGAGGGGAGACATTGAGTACCTACCATTGCTTTGTTTTCCTTTATGTTTAAAGCTCTTTTTTCTAAAAACACGGCGCCCTTTTCTTCAGAGTCAGAGTCAGAGTCTGAATCTAGAGCAGGCATCACCACTTCAGGAAGAAGTTCCATCTCAACCTTCCTCCTCTCCGATCTACGAGGTGGTAACGTCATGGCTACTTTTAGAGAAACAGGGCATTTCTGCCTTCTCAGAGCCATCTCACTTTCAGCACTTGATTCATTCTTCTTCGAATCGGATTTCAATTTCTGTTAACAAAACAGAATGGAGCTATATAAATCCAAGTAAGTTGCTCTGCAATTAAAACACATTTTGACAGTATTTTGTCTGGGGTGGTTAAAGAGGCTATGTGGTGAAATTCAGACATTTAAATCTCCAGTCCCAATGCTCCAGTATATTTTAAGGGGAGGAGGGGGAGGGGGCAGGAGCAGAGGGGAGCACAGGGATAAAAACACTGTCACAGAGAGCCATGCTGTACTGCTGCAACACATCAGAAAAAGAAGCTCGGTTGCAGTTGCGGCAGTCTTAGCTGTCACTTGCAGCTCTAATAGCAAAGGTAGCTCAGCTGTGAGTGCGAGAATAGAACTGCCTTTAAAAGGCTTGATTTTGCAACACAGAGGGTCAAACCCAAGTTTGTAAGTTGTCAAGAGCAGCCATCTCACTGTACCAATGATACTAAGTGAAAACTTCCTTCTAGAGCCAGCAAATGAAATAAATATGAATAAAATCCCAGTATTTTCTTACCTTTGACTCTCAATACCTCACAACTTTTGCAAGAACCAAGGGCTCAGTGAGGAGAGAAATTAATTTCTTTAGTTAAAAGCCCATTTAACAATAAGCTTTGACTTTTAGCTTTACACTCAATAAGACAGTCCTATTCTCATCACAGGTAACAAGAGGCTTCCTGCTTCATAGGCACAGACCATCAACCTCAAATGGCAATCCTTATTTGCACAGGGTTTTTACTGAACCAGGTATGTGGTTCTGGTTGCACATTATGTGTCATTATTGATTCCTTTTTCTTACATATCTCTTCCAGCTTTGTCTCTTTCTTACTCTTTACTGTTGTGTAATATTTAACTTAAGACACATCCTCTTCCAATCAGACATTATTTTTTTCTAGTTATTCCTCAGCATGTCCTGAAATTACGGCAAACCTAGTTTATGCCAAACATGGTACTACTTCTGTCTTCCCTACTAAATACCAACTGTTGGTCTTCTTAAACAATAAAACTGCTCTTGCAATAATGTCAAGGAAAAGCAGGAAGGTGGATCTCCCCACCTATCACTATTTCTCTATTGCTAAAGCAGCACGGCATTTCCTGTTGCACTGTCAGACTGCAGGTCTGACTGCATGCCAATATCCACAGAAACTTTTCTCCGGTTTCCTGGAGTCCAAGGGCTAGCATGGCATTTCATACTGAAGAAACCAGAAATGAATTAGAGTCTAACAGAGTAACATCCAGCAAGGACAGCTTTAGGAGGTATTGCATTTCAAAATTCATATAGCAGATTTTATTCTGAACTTGCAAAGCTCAGGAGCTTGGGGGCTTTTTACAGAGGCAAAAAGAAAATGAAACTATTGCTACATAGACTGTACATTGAATTAAATAAAATTATGCTTCTACCAAGCTGAAGCTGCCCTTATTTTTCAATTAAGAATGAATAAAAACTTAAAAGTTAAAATTGCAAACAAAAATCAACTGTCTTACCAATGCATCTTGAATCTCATTTTCTGAAAACCCACTGAACGACTCATCATCAGAAGCTTCATAAAAAATGTTTGCCATCTCTTCTCTAATACACGACCTAAACTTGCGTTTCTATGAAGAATAAAATATCCTTTCACTGAAGTTGTACAAAAAGTGATTCACATTTATAAGTGCAGTAAAAGCAAATAGCTTTTTAATAAAGAAAAAAAACAGTTCAGGCATTTAACAAAGGTTTCTAGAACTGCTGTTGCAAATTATCAGGCATGCTAGGTTAGGTGACATTTCAAAGGCTAGAATAAATAGCTAATCTGTTTCCAACAATTACCACCTAGAAGCACAAGCGAAGAATGAAATTAAATTACAGCATATAGCACAGATTTATAACTACTATACAAAAACATAAGCAGAGCAAGTAGTTTTAATCATGCACAAAACATACTGGCTTTACCAGCTTTCCATTTTTGCAAGCTTTACTAGCACCGCACATTCAGTTGTATTTGTTCTTGTGCTGTACTGACCGTATTCACAAAATTATCGGAACCAAAACTGTCACAGCTGTCATCAGACGATGAAGATGTTTCTATGGGAATCAGTTTTGTGTTTCGGAACGCTATTACGTTTCTCCTTGCTGAACACCGGCGCTGCAAAAGGACAATGGCAACACTGTTAGTAAGAGACCTACTGTAACAGACTAGCTTTTAAAAGCATCCTTAAACTGAAGTTTAGGAGGTCTGAACAGATTAGGATGTTTAACTGTCTTGAATACAAGTCAGCAGAATTATCATCAGCTTTGAAATAATTCCTAGTTAGGAATGGGAACAGTTTCTGCTCTAATATATTTCTGATCATTGTTACAGATGGGTTTTGTTCAGTATTTAGAAGTACTTGTTTTACGTAAACAGACAGATGAAAATACATGCAAAATTCATTCCACACTCATTATGGACAGCTATAAAAAAGTCTAGGTATACGAACAGTACCTAGAAATCTGCTTTATTAATTACTTTTAGTTTGCGGTGAACAACAAATACACTGCAGCTGTTAAGGAAGGGACTAAAGATCATATCCACGCAAGAAAGCAGCTTTTGAAACCACTGTTCTAGACATGACAGCTTGCTATTTGGTTAATTTGATTACCAGGTTGAAATAGCTTTTTGATGAATTTCAGGTTTTCATTTCCCAGGGAATGTTTCTACTGGCACTGACCCATTTCACCTCTCCAGGGCAGTGGTGGCAACCTGAAAGCCAAGCCTGCTGCAGCCACACTGAGCTGCTACCCAGGCCGAGCACTCTAACCCTTACCTGTCCACAGGCCAGATATTTTATTAATATGGTTTAAACAGTAACTGGCCAGGGCAATCTAAAGACCTCCATCCTCTGCCCAGCACCGTTCAGAACATTTTTATATTTTTTCCTGGAGCGGCAACGGCTGCACCCCTGAGGCTTGCCCACGTCTCGCACTTTCGATGGTGCTGACGAGAAACGGGAAAACTTCCCGGCCTGGCCGCGGCCCCAGACACAG